TTTTCCCAAATCCAAAGAAAACAGAAGCGATCATATTTTGCAAGAACAATACACCCGATACGGACATCGATTTGTAGGGAAACACCCAGACTATCTACAATAATGAAGAAAACTGTTCGTTTTGAAGGGTCCATTAGGTGGAACGAACTTCCTTTGAGGACCAGATAACATCTCGCACTACCGTTCATACTGGCGACAACGCTCTGCTAAGAAAACGCAACCCCACCCCAATACTCCTCCCCTGATCCCATAATTCGACAATGTACCCCTCTAATCTCTGTTAAGCCGCGAGTATTCCGCTCAACTCCTACTAGACATAAAATTAAGTGAATTTTGTTGCAAACAATTAACAATTCATTATCGGCTCCGTAAAGCTAACACGTAATAAATGAACTAGATGAAAAAAGAAGACACTAATGTTGATAGTTAAGTGCAATTCAAATGTGTAGTCTTACTTTAATTTCCTTAACAGAGTTACAGACGCTTTAACCTTGAATGGTCGTTCGCGTTTTGTTTGTTATTGGAAATAAAAACTTTACCTTTACCTTATCTTATGTAAACAGATTAATTAAAATTATTTCCTTTAAAAATTCAATTAATTTGTCTTTGTTTTTTTAAAATAATATTTGAGTAATTCCTTAAATTTTAATTTTATATAATATTTCTTTCTTAGGTTTGCTAATTCTTTACATTCTAAAAGAATGTTCCCTGATTTTCCAGTAATTTTCAAACAAATTCCAGTTGCAGTGTCTACAAGGTTTTTGGTTTTCAGATAGTCGACACCCTGTTAAATTTGGGTGAGTCGTGATATGGTGATAGAAGATATCCATGTGTTAAACGAGTGCGTCCAATTCTAAGCTTAGTAAGTGCACGTTGCTCTTATTGATCATATCGGTCCTTCCATTTTAATACGTTTTTTTTTTATTATTTTGTTTAACTGAGTACCTGGATTGGACGAGCTCCATTCCCACTGCCGGCTTCTCAAATTTTTGTTTTTATAGATCTATTAGCATCTATTGCCCCGGAATCCACACCAAATTGATGTCTTTATTCAACGCTGCATTTTCACAGGCATGGTTCCATGGATTTGGGCAAGAACCAGTTTCAAATGCCATCAGCCTGCTGGCACTATCGGAGAACATAACTGTCTTCTTGTTTTCTGGGGCCTTGCGAATTGCTGTGCATATGGCCATTACCCCTGTCGATAAAACTGAACATTCAGCGTTGATTCTGCCGCACATTTCGAAAAACTCCGAATACGCACCAAATCCAGTAATTTCTTCATGTTTATAACCGTCAGTATACATTTTGAAATACTCTTTATATGTTTCATAAATCATCGCTCTGTAAGCAGCCAATGCTTTAACTGAATTTTCACCCGCTTTTACCATACGAAAATTCCTTTTGACTAAATCATGAATGTTCACTGAGCCGCCAATCGGATTCTATCACAAGCGTGCACAGAAGAGCTGCACTGTCCGTCATTCTGTACATTTGAGAACTGTGTTGGGCCTTTGGTACACCTTAAATAGATACACGCGACTTTTACTTGTCAAAAAGTACTCTATGTACAGCGAGTTTGCCTCATACTGCTGAGCACACTAACGGATTTGCATTAATCATATAATACGTATATAGTTTCTAGGAATTCTAGATTGATTTTGCTAAAATAACAACAATGTTTCGAGTTCACAGAAGCTGATAATCGATAGTTACGTGGAAAACTGATGCTTACGAAAGCGATGCAGTTGTAAACAATTATGACAACTTGAAACACATAATCCTAGTGCAAATATCATAAAAAAAGCTGCTATGATCTTATGAATGCTAGTAATGAATGGCGATTCTTCGGGAACTTCGCTTCTGATCTCATGTGGAAGACCAATGAATTTGCAGTCCTACATCCGTCGTATTACGCTGAAATAAACTCAGAGATGCTTGATGATAATGTTACGGACAAACAAAAATCCCAAATACGACTTAATCTGTCTACCAGTTGTTGTTACTTTGGAATAAATACGGTTTGTTGGAACGTTTCCAATTTTATAGATTCCGGTTTTGTCTAGATCAGCCAAAAGTTTTGATGTTTTTGTGGAGCATTTTTGATTCGATCGATTCCTCTTTCAGAGGATTCATGAAGAACCGCTAAAAGAAACCCTATTTATACTTGTAATTGCGACTAGTTTGAATTCGTAAACAACCATGAAAACTCATAGAACGAATGTTTCCGATCATTGTAAAGTAAAATGCAGTCCAAAATGCTCACCCGGTGGCTTTGAAAATTTTGAGCTCAGAGACAGTCTGCTTATCTCAATGGGGAGGTATTCTACAGCTTGGAAGAGGCGATTCTTCGGGAACTCCGGTGACCGGACCATGTCTTTCCAAATCGACGTCTATCGTACTATGTAGCGTACCGTAAAACGGGGTGCATAGAAATGGTGGGGCGAAAAGAAACAAAACTTTCCACTACTAAAAGTATGACTAAGATTATCTTGGAAAAACATCCACAAACATTTTCCCCTGTTACTTAGATACTGAAAGAGTTCCACCAAGCTATTGGTTGGTAGCACTGCTGTAATTTTTCTATAAATTTCACAAAGTTATGGTCCGCTTACTGTAACAGTAAGTGAAATAATTTTCAATCATCACCAGGTATTTTACACCTTCAAATGCGTTGGGAAGCATTTCCATTCGGCCCATTTTACGGTACATCCATAGGTCTTCGTGTGGCTTGTTCAACTGATAAGGGATTTGTTTTTTTTTTCAGTATGCTGCTGGAGAAGCTTGATGATGCTACGGGGGAAAATCCCCGAGTATGATTTAATCAGTGCACTGGAATTAATGCCGGTACGTTGAACTAACAACCATAGATTCCGTAAAATGTTTCCAAATACGTACAACTATCACCGGGGGAAGGTCATATCGAGTAATCATATCTCAGGCGTGAAACAATAAAATGCCGACCGTACCGAACCAGATCGCTCATAAGTAACTAACTGTCAGGAAAAACCACTTTTTACCTGTCAGGTATGTAGTATGTAGTGGCATGAACATACATACACAAAATGCGAGGGAGATAACGAGACAGGTGTTTTTTTTTGAGTCGTGGTGGTAGTGAGGCAACCACTATGCACTGTTACCTACCGCAATGTATGTACCTAGGCACATTTATATCATCATCATCACCATCATCATCATCATCAAGCAGGTCTATTTCCAATGTGTCCGCTCCGTTCGTATTTTTATCATCGGGAAGCGAGGCCGAACAACGTGGTCTGGTTTGATGAGGTGTGGGAGGGTAATCAAAACAAAAATAGCAAACTATTCGACGAGGCATACGATGTACATGGCCTTCTGTGTTGGTGTCGGTCGATATACGTGTAATATGACGTTACAACTACGAACCGACATTCGTCTATACCATTAATACTGCAACAGCACACTCGACGACGACGACGCCAACGACGATGGTTAGGCTGGTTGTTGGGAAGCAGCGCAGCAGCAACAGTAGACGATGAATGTGTGCGACTCGTTGGCAACGGGCGGGGTGTGCTGGCAGCGGTCGGTCGGTGTGGGAAACATGAAAGAGAGCACGACATTGGGGAAAACCCAAAAGTTCGAGCGCACCACGATGAGGGAGCGGTTTGCTTTCGGAAAAGGGGCGCCCCTGGGGTGTTAAAGATATTCCGACATAACTTCTTCGCTCTGGGTTTCGCGGGTTTACAAAACAAAACGAAGGCGAATTAAAATCGATGCCACGGTTTTGCACTGAACCGACGCGAGGCCACGGAAGAGGGTGAACGTTAAGTTACGCAAAGAAAGAAGACAGAAAAACAGCGACGAGGAGATGACTAGGGAAAGCCCCAAGATCGAGATTGACCTCCTTCAACTGTGCGGTAGCTGTTGCTGAAGGCGAGGGAGAAGTAGCTATTTTAAGCAACCGGGAAAAGCCCACAGGAGAAAGCCATGCGAAGGCTTCCGCCTTTCTTCGTACGGGGCGCAGATAAAACCCACTGATTGGTGGTGCTTGCTTACTGCTTACTGCTATCGAGAGGTTTTGGTATTTTCCCATCGTAATGAAGCGGTTTTACCGGTCTGTGTATGTGATTCGCATGACTTTACCAACCGCACTCAGCGAGACAATAAATAAATGGCCTTCTTGCCATCCGTCAGTCAGTTGGGATATTTCTTCAACTGGAATTTCTCAAGCTCACATAAAACGCAACAAATTTCCTCATCTTCAATTTGTCAACAAAGCCATCCACCAAACAGGCCAATTAAAATAACCGACCTATCTTGCTTTCGCTCGTTCTCTTCAGCCTGCAGACGGAAAATATGCACGGCCTAATTTTAGCACGCAGGAAAACCTAATTTTAGAGCATATTTCCTTCGACTGCGGTGAAATTCCACCGAGTGATATATTTTTTCCCTTGGCGAATGAAATCTCCGTCATAGAACAGCACACCGATTGCCGTCCGTGTGAAAATTCCGACCAAGATGATGAGAAGGAAAGGAAGAGAACGCGCCGCGCAATTTGGGTTTTTTCGAGGGGCATTTTTCTATTTTTACCACCCCAAACGCGACCAGTATTGGATGCGGTGTGGGAACGAAATCTTTACCATAAAAAGTCCTGTTTCCATTCATTCATTTGGCGGCGAAAGAGTGACGTGTTGGAAAATAAGTGAATCGCACGGGTTGGTAAGAGAATTGAATGACCGACGACAACGCCCGAACGGGTCGACCCACGTTGAGCGTTAGGGTATGAGATCATTTTGTGCGATCGATCGTCATGCAACATTATGTTATTTCCCTGTTTGGACAGACGCCGAGCGAGACAAAGGCCAATAGTAGTATATTAAGCGGCGGTGAGAGCCTGGAGTCTGGTTTTTCAGCTGCCGGTTGGAATTCCCCGAGCGGCTTCAATTCAACAAGCAGGATGATAATGGTGATGATGATGATTGTGATCGGGAAGTGGAAGAACTTGGATGAGAGGCACTTACCATTATAGTTCCACTGTTCGAGATCTTGTGGAATTTTGATCGCTGCTTGAGCAGCGGGACTGCTTTGCTGGAATTCCACGGCGTTCAGGGGAGTTAGGAGTTCCTTTGCGCAATCGGTCCTCCGATGCAGGCAGGCCAGATGCAGTGGAGTGTTTCCTTCGATGTCACGGATACTGGTCTTGGCTCCGGCCACGACCAACCGACGAACGATTTTTGGCTGACCGGTTAGCACCGAAAGGTGCAGCGGCGTTTGGCCAATATCGTTCTGGATATCCAGCCAGGGCCGCGGTGCAACGTGAATCAAATTGAAAACGACTTCGGTGGCCTCGTGGATCACGGCCAGATGAAGGTATCTGTGGAAGAAAAGAGAGCGTACAACATTTCAGTTAAATTTGATTATAAAATGCATGCGTAGGGTATATGGAGAACCTGATACTACAGGGATTGACGTTCATTCCTAGCCGCGAGGCGACAAACAAACAAACAAGCGATCGATGGAACAGTACTGTTACTGTCACTGTCTGACCGCGGCTGCTGCCGTTAACGGGTTGGTAGGTTTTTACGCTCGGCAGGCGTTAATGAGTTAGAGAAGTATTGAGAAAACATGTTCTAGTATTGAGCAGCAACGATTCCCGACAGAGCCAGACGAAGCCGGGTAGGGGGATGAAGTATTTTCTAGGAATTAGGAATTGCTTTCTGGGAACAAAAAGATACAACAACTTGCTATGAACAGCCATTGACGTAGCTAATGGGGATGAGCTTAGGATGCTTGGCTACCGCCATCTAGGCCCCATCCAGATTTTTTGGAAGATTTATATAATTTAAATTGGCGATATTGGAATCTCCAAAAAAAATCTGAAGCGAGCCTGGATCATTCTGGAGCGGACCAGGTACCCTAGGCACCCCCATAAGCTACGCAAATGTAAACAGCGAGTGACGGTGTTGTGCATGAGTAAGGATTGGTCTAGGAACAATATTGATTTGATCGTATGATCGCATGCAAAACACCGCAATTGTTGATGACGTCACGATGATCTAAGAGTAAGAGTAATAGCAATAAAAACAGTGCCTTGAATGGCAAATTGCATCTGGCAGTTAATGAATGCTGACGGAAGCTCTACTACTGACTTTCATCAGTGAGAAACTGGTTGTACGATTGAGGAATTTTCCATTGACCGTTGAGAGATTATACGTTGGGTGATGCAACTAAGGAATCATCTACCGAGCAGGATATCTCGGAAATTAAGCGATTATCAGTTAAAAATTAACCAATTATTGATTGGGCTGTTCTTGGAATACTCGTGAGAGATAAAAGAGCGTGTTTTTACCACCGATACGAAGTTAATTAAGTGGAATTGGTGCACATTCTCCGTAAACATTATTTTTAAATTAGCTAAAAAACATTACTATTACATATAATTAGAAAGCAAATATCAACTGTGCTAGTATTCAAGGAATACTAAGGTGATGACAGGCTTACAGTTCAAATTTAGGGGAAAAAAAGAACAAAATAAGTTAGAAATATCCATTCATAAACTTTGTTAGACACAGTCAACCAGATGATAAAACACTGGTGATTGAAGTGGAATTTTATTTGTAGCTTGCTTTACTGAACACTTATTAGAAGTTGAAGTAAAACCACACATAAACAGACATAGCTCATTGAATATTTTTCAATATAAAACATCGTCGCAAAAACACTACCGCAATCTGTTGAGTATACTGTGGTGGGCAATACGCCGAACAGATGGCGGTAGTATGTAAACGTCAAACGCAAAGGAATTGACTAGGCGCGCCACAGGTGGCGGTACTACCAACTAAACAAAAAATATTTAAATTGTTCAAAACGTGTTCGATGAACAACTTGCAAGTGTTGTCTGTTTCTCTGTGATAAAACACTTCTGGAAGCCAATAGAACCTAAGATCAGGCCGAAGATTACAGAACAATCTGAACAAAAAAAAAAAACTATAAAATCGCACGCTCCAACTGGCGAAATCGAAGAACTTTGAACGACAAATCGTCCTCTAATGAAAATGCCAATAATAATTGACCAGTTTCTAGCGACAGGCAACAGACGTCAATTCCTTGCAATGGGGATTTTTTGCACAATCAAGCTCTCGGCGATTATTAAAACTGGAATAGGGGTTTTTCCAGAGCATGGCGTTGTTAGAGGAATTAAACAAAACACACAAGCGTAAGCCAACTGGACAGTTTCGAAATGCGCTTCTCATCGAAACTGATAATAACAAGTACCTACCAAGGCATTACAAATAAAGAATAACAACAAAGTAAAATAATACTCACGTATCGCCGTCTTCGTTCTGATGGAAGTACTTTTCCCATTTCATATAGTGCTGCTCCTTGCGGCTCATCTGCAGCTGGAGCAGACTCTTGCACAGGTCGTCCACCCTCATCGAATCGTTGGGCGCCGTGCGAGACTGTTGGCTCGAATCAAGATCCACCCCCGAATCGAAGGTACGTGAATCCTCTTCTTGATGCTGTTGTTGCTGTGCCAGTGCCTTCTGGTTTCCGGAGTGGAAAATCGGTTCCACCGGAGCTTCCTGCACCTCGGACGATGAGCTGAACAGATTGTCCGAACTAAGATTCTGGCCGGAATGAAAGCCGGAATCTACCGCTCCGCTGTCGGTGGCAAATTTATCGTCCTGCTGCTTTTGTCCCTCTGGAAGGGAAAGGTACGTAAAACCTCCGGCTGACGACGCTCCTCCCCTTGATGGATGCATCTTTTGAAAGGATTGGATCGCTTTTTGTTCGCTTGGCTGTTTGGCGCAAGATTCACGGTCTGCTGCTGTTTAACTATCTTTTCAATTACCACACGAATTCCTCTCACTTGAACTCGGACTGATCAAAGCCAGTATGAAATTAACTAGTTTTCTAATCGAAATTCAACACACTAACACAAGATGGCGATTCAAACAAGTCAAACTCGATGCCACAGATGTTTTCCACATATTCTGGATGCACTTTAAACCAACTTGTAAGATAATCCCGTAGTAACGCGCAAAAGGTCAAAATCGTTCGAGGCCTTTTAATTCCTGCCGTCTTGCTTCGCGAATCAATTTTCCTTCAATGCTATTTTATTTGGCGATCTCTGATGTAGTAGACGAGAATCAACGAGCTGACACAATCAGGTACTGACTGGCTAGCACTTGTCACATACACACCCAAACAAAATCACGCCAAGTGCCCGTCAAAATGGCTAGAACCAAACATGTGTTGGTGTATAGCTCGCTCACACGAACGTCGCGGGTAGAGAAAAATAAAGGAAAAAACGCGAAAACGAGCTTGCTCTGTCTGACGGTGATGCCGAACGAGAGTCGAAAAAAAACACTTCCGAAGCGTCTTGCAGTTCAAAGCGTACTGATCAGTTTCTGTTGCGGCCATCAAATGAAAGGCAGCCGATTTGAATCGGCGAACGTGTGTGTGTGTGTGTTGGTGTGTATTTCCCACAAAACGTTATTGCACACCGCGCACATGGTCGCAGAAAGCACGATATGGGAATACAAAAGAACACACATACGGGTTCCGTTACGTCACACACTATGTAGCTGCAAATGCGATATCACAACAAAACCACAAAAAGTACAATCGGCGCCTTAAAAGTAAACATAAGCGGGATCTTTAAGTGGTATCCGCTGATGATGAGTTTAAATGGGATTAATAACTTCACCAGCGGAAAAGTAAACGTTGTGATGGTTCAATAAAGAGATAATAAACAAGGTTTTTCGATTTACGACAACAAAATTGTTGAGAAACGATGGATGGAAAAGCTTGGATTTAGATTTTTTTTCGTCTGTTGCCTCTTTAGCCAACAGCATATTATATTGAATACTTTCGTAGGGTAAATGACGGCTTCAGCAATACGAGCGCTTATTTTTTGCATTCGAAAACATGTTTCAGAGCCCCATTTAGCCAAAATTGAACACTCAAGGACTTTATTTTACCCCTCTGACGATAATTCAAGCTGAACAATGCGTTAGGTCCTAAGTAACATTGACAGATTCTCTTCGTCAACTCCAGAACAACATGTGAAAAGGGCATACAAGCTTTTTGTAAACAAACCTTTGTAGGCCCTTTTCTCGCTACCCATATGACCCAACGCAAACCTTTAACATCACCGAGTAGGGGACACTTTCCCCTTCCCTATGATATTGCTGGTTTGCGTGGGCGACCCTCGGTTGGTGAGAAAAGGGCCTACAAAGGTTTGTTTACAAAAAGCTTGTATGCCCTTTTCACATGTTGTTCTGGAACTTTCTCTTTGCATCCTCACGGCCGTGTTATGACATTTCCAGCTATTTTCAGCACACAGATCAATGAAACAAGTTATTATCTAGCTTCTAATACGACAAATGGGATAAGAAACGGTTCTGTACCTAAGTTATTAACGAAAGAGAAAGTAGATGAAGAGAATCGATGAATGTTACTTCGGACTTAATGCATTGTTCAGCTTGAATTGGTAAACGTATTGTTGAAGCCGACATTTACCATAATTTCTTAGTGATGTGGATTTCCCGATTACATTTCATGAGCCTCTCTCTGCATCTGACTTTTTCCTTGTACAAATTTCACATAGCCATGGTTCCAACTTGAAATGTTCCTCGTCCTGAGATACTTGTGTTACAACAGAATCAAACTAGTCCAACAGATTATCTAGCTACGTAAAAAGTATTTACTAAATTTAGTAAACACATTCGTGGAGTTTTGCTAATACAGGGTTTCAACGGGCTAAGCCCTCCCAAAACCATATTCCAAGTATGGGGTAAATACAGGTAAATACATACTTTCCACGTTAATTTTTGCAGTTGATAGGTACATCGCATATGATATAAATTAAAAGACAAAGAGTTAGTTCCAATAATCATTAATCACGATTTTTGCTAAATTTTAAGCATATCCAATCGGTAGAAGTTCTCAAAATTCACAAAAACACAAGCCCAGGAAACGCCTAAATGTATGTATCTCCTATGTGATCATCGATGGTCAACCAATGATGTTTGTGAATCTTGAGAACTTCTACCGATTGGATGAACTTTAACAAAAATCGAGAATAATGATTATTGGAACTAACTCTTTGATTGATTTGGAGCCGCCAATTTCCAATAAATTTTTGTATGACGGCCTTATATTTATTTCCAATGGAGAAAATCACATTTCCCTTTATTTCTCGTAGGTATAATATGCAATTTACAACACGATAATGTGACTTCCAAACACACATGATTTAGAATTAAACTGATTCTTCCAGTTTGGAGGAGCCATGCTTTTAAATTGTCTTGATAATTATTTCCACCAGTGTATTTTGGATATGTTCTCGATTATTTTTTTCGAGAAAAGCTCCTTGCTGGGAATATGGTCACGGGTGGGATTTTTGGGCCAACAAATTCAACTAAGCCCTTTGGTACTATTGTTTTATAATTGAAGTAAATACAAACGTTTAAATCTTTTTTATTTAAAAAAGGCAAAGAATGAAAGAAGATTTTTTTGTATTGAAAGAACATTAACTGAAAGGTTTGTCAACTGGCGGACCTTTTGTTAAATTACATTTCAGCAAGAGGGCGGTGACTCTATTTAAGATGCAGGCAAGATTTTATTATGATATCGCACGTTCGGGTAAGAAGATTGGTGACAATTTTTTTGCAAAAAGATGGAGAGCAATGCAAGTAAGGTTAAACGGGCTAGATGGCCACCCTCAGGTTGATATAATTTTTATATATTGCAATCATTAATACATTGAACTATTATTTACCCTAGCCCTTTCATGTGTCTTCTAGCACCTACGCATTGATACAATTAAATGTATTTCAAATCAAATTTAGATTTCCAGTTCCAGCAAAACAGTTTGCTGAAATGGAAAAAGCAAAATAACTCTTTGCTGGAAATCATTATTAGCATTTTTAGCCAAGCTTGCAAATGCTCATTGCAGCATTGAAAATGCGATGAACCAGCTTACTTTACCTACTCTTCTTGCATCTTACAAATAAAAATTATCATTATATAATATCTCATAGTAATCCTATATACATAGAGATTCGCGGAAGTGGCCATTTTGAGCAAATCGAGCAGCGAGAACTGTCAAAATGTGAGCCAAACGAGCATGTTTATCGTTTGCCTGTATGCTTCAGTTGAAAAGTATTGTAATTGGGGTGAAATAAATTCAAACAGAAAAAAAATATATAGTATTAAAATGCGTATGTAAATGAGTGGTTGTCGCACAAAATGCATTTGGTGCTGATGAACCGGGATCGCTCCAGGCAGCTTCAGAACTTTCCCACCTTCTTTACCAAAATACAATTGCGTGTGCTCGAAGCAGTACATTTTAACTAGATACCACCAAATAATTATCATTGTAACATACACGGCACAAACGCATAGAATCAACTAGGAAAAAATCCGACGGTAGTCCGCAAAACTCCAGCCATTTTTCGAAGTTCATCGTTTTTCGGAAACCGGAACGACTACGATTAGGGCAATGCACTTTTTATTCCATAAATGTTATTCGAAATTTAAAGAAACATACACTACCGATCATAAGTTTAAGGACACGCCAAAAAAACCATGCAAATATGTTTTGTTCAATGATCTCTAATTTTACGTTCAATTTTCGATCTCCAAAGGTTATAGCATAAGTGTTCTACTACTTCTTTTATTTCAAAATTTGGCCAACCCAATTCTGAGAAAATCGGTCACGATTCTCCAGAGTAAATTTTGAAAAATATTGTAACTTTGGGTGAACTTTTAGCACACAAAATTTGAAAATTGTATTTAACAATTTGCCTACGAGGAAAGTTCCATTCAATACCTTTCAAATGATCTAAAGAGAACGAAAATTGGACGTAACATGACAGAGATATGAACATAACAAATTTGTCATGTTTTTTTGGGGGTGTCCTTAAACTTATGATCGGGAGTGTAGTTGACTAGTTCACTGAGAAATCAAACAACGTAAACAAACTTGTAGCGTAGACAATGATAAAATCACGCACAAAACAAACCACGTTGCCAAATCGTCTCATAATATTTCCGTTTGTCTCTGTATATAGGATTACTAATATCTCACAGTTTTATAATGCCGAAAAATAGTATTTAGCTGTAATAAGTATTTGTAAGCTTGTTTTTAGCATCGCCGAAATCCAGTAAATGTCAGAGCATTTGTTGATACGCAGTAAGATGAGCTTTCTGTATACTAAAATGAAAATTAAATCAAGAACAACATGTGAAAAGAGCATACAAGCTTTTTGTAAACAAACATTCTTATGCCCTTTTCTCGCCACCCATATGACACCAACGCAAACCATCAACATCGCCGGATAGGGAAGGTTTCCCCTTCCGATGATGTTGTTAGTTTGCGTGGGCGACCCTCGGTTGGCGAAAAGAGGGCCTACAAATGTTTGTTTACAAAAAGCTTGTATGCCCTTCTCACATGTGGCTCTTGAAATGAAGGTTGTTGCAAATGAAACTTAAAACGATTTATTTGTGTAGCCAAATATAAAAAGCAAAAATATACGTATGCACAGATTCTAAAAACATAAGATTTTTTATGTAAATTTGAAAGGTGTTTATTGTTCATCTTACTCCGTTTACCTCTAGATGCATTTAGATGAGAGATTTTTTTTTTAGCTTGATGCGCTAGCGAGATATTTTCTTTTGATCGTCGAATAGCGGTTTTGATGTGATACGCACCAATTGGGATCATTAATTTTGAAAATTTATCGGTTTTATACTCCATCTGAAAGAGCTTCGTTTTCTACGCACAACGATACTTTTTTCGAACCCTCGAGGTATATCTCGATATAACGTAACTGTCATTTTTGACTTCCATCACCGATTTCTCTCAATCGATGATTCAATCAAGCAAAAGAATAACAACATCGGACAGATGAAACAATCCCCCATCTAACTATTGATAATAGTGACTTGTATGATTGAATTGTCAATTTCGAGATATCGTCAATGGAAGCCAAAAGTGACAGTTACGTTATATCGAGGTATACCTGTATAGAGATTACGAGGGGCACGCACTTTTAGATACGAGCAACAATCAATACAAAGCTAATGATTTTTAATTGGCTCATTATATGACTAGCCCATTGATTTAAAGCACATCTATAAGCGTAGCCCATTCTCGTACTATAATCTGTGAAAGTTTGTGTTTGTTTTGAATTGGCATATCTTCTCGGTTAAATTGCAAACCGGTTAACGTACAGAACAAGAGAGTCGCGTGTGGGGTTTTCCGGATTTCAACTGTACCGACAATACATTTGACAGAGTTTAATGTGGGGTTCGTGTATTTTCCTGCATTTCAAGGGGTGCTTCAATAAGCTTGGGACCGAAGATCAGATACTTCCTGAGACAA